TTCATTTTTATTACTTTAGAGACATGCACGCGAGAGGTTTTTTTTTTGGGTCAATGGTTTATTATTATTTTTACTTACCATGTAATATTATAATATATACAGAAGCAACGATGTGTTGTCATCTGATTAAAAGAACAATTTAAGTTGGTGGAACCACACCATGCTTATCCATCGGATGCCGTAAGCCAACAGAAACAAGTCATGTGGTGTGACAAATGTGTGTAGAACCATGTAGCACCCATTTAAGAGAGGAAGAACAGAAGCCTCCTCCCATGTGGTGTGAGAAAGGTCTAAACACCACCTAAATCGTGAAATCAAAAGAAAAAAGTTTGGACTTCATTGGAGACAACCTCTAAGTAAAGATGAGAAGAGTGCAAAAGAAAAAAAAAGGGTGTGAAGAAAATCACTCAACAAACTAAAGTGCTTTTGTTGCAAAATTTCAAGTCAAATGCATATTTCGTGCATTTTAACTTTTCTATGTGCAAGATTTGTTTGACATACCAACATAGTAGCATTACGTTGCATTGCATCATATCGGTGCCATGAGATGAAAAAAAAAAGAGCACGTCAGTAAAGAAAGATAAATCACTGTTGATGAAATCAAGTTGCCACGACAATTCCTCTCTGCATTTAAATTTAGTAGGTACGAAAATGCTTGGTAGAAATCACTTTTGAAATGAAGTTGCCACGAAAGTTCATCTCCTTTAACTTAACCACATTCACAATGAAAGGTAGTAGGTAGGATACAAACATAGAAAATGATTAACTTTAGTAATCAACTAGTGCATATTGAAAATAAACCCTTTTTCTTTTGGATACAAACATAGAAAAATGTTCGTTGATTACATGTGTGATTTGTTTTTAAGTGCTATGAAGCTACATTTCTCAGCAACATTGTTGAGGAGATCTTAGGCCATTTACTTCATGGCACAAAAGTTAGAAGACGACAAGGCTCTTGAGCTTTTAAGTTTGAATAGGCTTTCGAAATAAAAGAACCTGCAGATGATTATTTGAGACTCGCACGGCATGCAATAGCCTATGCTCGTGGCATTCTGTTAGCTCTTAATCTTATAGGTCCTCATATGTGTAATAAAAGTATAGTTGTTGGCAAGCTATACTGGATAGTTATGATTTTTACAGTGGAGAACTTTATAGAGGTATTCAAAGAATACTTTGGAAAAGTTATGATGCCTGGGATGATGTCGTGCGACAACTTTTCTTAGACATTGCATGCTTCTTCAAGGGTGAAGATAAAGACTTAAGAGATGCTTGCATACCCAAATTTTAGAACGAAACAAAGACAATGAAATTATGTATGTGACTACGTACTGAGCATAAAAAATGGAATAGGAGAGGAATGCATCTAACCGTATGACAAACTGAATACGGTAAAGTGTATTTCATTTACGTACAATATGTTCTTGCTCAAGCTTCGAAACTGAAACATTACTACCCGAATGTCCAATACATAAATTTACTCGAAACAAATGAACCCGCCTATCTACTTGATCGATCCCAATTGGAAGATGACACACACTTACATGTAGGGACTATGCTGCATAACCCTGAGCGAGGTAATATCTTGTTGAAAAGGATGAACATCAGCCACCAGGTTCTTTCCTATGTCCCAAACCTAAGCACAACATTGCAAAATAATTATTAAAGGCAGTAGATAAACAAAGCCAGAAACTAAGTTTCGATCATTCATTCATCGAACAACGGAAAATATATCAGAGGAGAGCATAGTGCAGAAACTTGCCTCAGTGTGGTTCTTGGTATTTACTTTTAGTTTTAGAAGTATGCCTTGGACCTTGGTTCTCCATAAGCTGAACACAAACATCACCATTTATATCAGACTATCAAATCATCGTACGGAAGAACCGACTGCTATACTTTTCAAGAGAAGAACAAAAGGGTCTCTAAATTTCACTACATTAACAAGAAAACCGAAATGAAACAGTTGGAAATCGAAGGAAGTAACACGTAATACTTGTTCCCTGTAAAAACTTGCTTGGAACTGCATTGACAGACTCAAGTAGAGCTTCAGTGTTATCTTTGCCAAATAATTTGATTCTGCCATCCCTGTAAATGTCAAGAAATCATCACATATACTCAAGTGGACGAAAATGAAGGCAAAAGAACGAACGTCCTGCACAGACAATTTCTGAAAGGCAATAATTAGGCTAACTTTGGTAGAAGAAATGGACTTACTTGGTCGAAATTGCAAGTAGTTTTGGATGGAGACATAAGCCATCAAGTTACAGCCTGATGGTATTCCATGATGGAATAATGCACCTGGATCTATATCACTGCCTTTAAGACTATCAGATATTCCTCCAGACTACAAAATAACAAATAAGTTATGTTAACTCTTAAACTGCCTTTAGAAATAAATAGATAAATCTGATTTTTAATTTAATACTGTCATCAACTGTTCCTTGCCATAAATGGGGGTAAGGCTAGCCGACATTCACCTCTCCCAGACCCTGCGTAAAGCGGGAGCCTTGTGCACTGGGTACGACCTTTATCAACTGTTCCTTGCCACAAAAGCAGCATAAACACTGAGGACCAACAAAAAAGGACAAAGTTTGAGTCTATCCCGACTTCCGAGTGACTTGTTGCTCAAAATAGTCTTAACCTTTACTTTTGTTCGACTTTCTCCTCCCTAAAAAACCACTCAAGTCTAGAAAGAGTGTTGTTTTACTAGAGAACCACATCTATGAGTGCATTCCAATCCAGATGTAAGGAGGTAGGTTAACAACTGAAAATGCCGAATATCAATTTCTTACCTGTTAATCTATCTAACTAGGATAATACTATTGTGAAGGTAAGACTCTTTTGTTATGTAAGTTTTTGCATATAAAATCTATATACTTAATAACTAACAGATTGAACTTCTGTCAGTGGCTCTCATCCGTATATACCTACTGTTTGAAAAGAGTAAATTGATTTCTGACCAGTCAGGCGTATTACTCAGCAGCTTTCCTAAACCTATCTTTTCCTGATATTCTGCTTAGGGCCATGTTGCTTTTTAGCTCGCATGCCATGTTTCCCCGCAAAGCAGTTGTCCACTGCAGCGCCCATTTTTCCTTCCTGGTGTCTTCAGCCCTCACCCTTCATAGCTTGTTTAAATTATAGTATGCTGATGGTATCTGCTTTGTCCAGTAGTTCTGTGACACTTGTTTGGAAACTGCTGTTTCTTTTACAGGTTCAATTCACGTTGTGATCCCGTAGGCAATAGCTTCTTCGTGATCAAGATTCATGAATAATATTCTTATGTCAATGTTGTAATATGGAATTGCAAAGATTCTGTTAGGCATAGAAATTGCAAATTGATAAAACCCAGCCAGTTATTGTATTCAATATACACGTGTTTTAGAGGTCGTGAAAATGACACATTTTTAAGATAAGGGATTAAGTTTAATGAGATAAGTGTGAAACCAAATCCTTGGTATAACGAAAACCTACAGAACCACACAGATCAATAGAAGCTACTCAAAGCCGTTTCTGGTCAAAGACGTAGTTCTCGCCATTTCTGTATTTGTAAGCTTTCCAAAATACAGAACCAGTTTGTTCGACGTTTGAAGCTATAAGCTTAACTCTTTCGTTAACTGTAAAGTACAAAATGTTTCTGAAGAAGACTAAGTCCGGCCTCAAGAATGTCTAGAGTTCTAGAAATGATGCATGAGTGGGGATACGATGAATAATGTTCGAAAGTCAAACAACTTAAAAACTAGAGTTTATTCTATGCATGGGTCAATATGTTGTTTTGACAAACCAATATTCTTTTTATACGAGCGATATTCCAAAAAATTAAAACTGCTCTAGTTTATGGGAACGGAGCTCTAAACTTAATCCACGTTTAAGAATGTTGTTAGATTTCAATTCACACTTGGCCTCCAGCCTCCTTCCGTGTGTAAGTACACATTTGTAACAAAGACATTGATGCAGATTAATAAAAGAGTCATGTGAGACAGAGATCCTTGACTATTTTAAATAACACACTAACCTTGATATATATTTTCTACCAAAAACAGACGAGTAATGACTGGAAAGTCAACAGCTACCAGTATAGAGGGCGCACGGCAGGCACTGGACTGGAGGACCACAACACCACCAGGGAGGGAGGACAATTGTTCTTTGTAATTGATAAAAGAATAGCCGCATCCGCATGCAGCCGCTTCATATTTATATATCATTATTGGGGCCTACTCTATAATGTATTTCAACTAACTACTCGTCAATAACATACGACAATTTAAAACTATATAACTGTTTGATTAAATAATGGTCATTATTGTTAACAAACGATATTATCTACATTAAAGAAGAAGGGGGTGGGTTTAGCTTCACAATACTTGGGATAGTCATTTTATTATTTCTTTGTATAACTGTATGAGTCCTGCTCTCCTAGGGCCCTCATTTGAGGACCAGTGAGGATCAAATGCATATTAGCCACAAGATTATATTAGTTTAGATTCAAAGGCTTAAAATATTTGACAACTTAATAAACCGAAACGAAGATGAGTTTTCTAATGGTTCATGGATCTTAAGTTGGTTTTACTTTATTAAGTTGAATATATTAACTATTTGGATCTAAACTAACACAACTAATATAATCTTGTGGCTATTATGCATTTAGTCCTCACAAGTCCTCAAAATGAGAGCCTTAGGAGAGTAGGACTGATAATGGCATTAGTCTATTTTTCTTCACTGTAAATAAATGTTTTAATGGTTTTAAATTAAGTATACTAAATGAATATAGATGGTTTGGATTCTTGAAAAATGCTACGGGGAATTAGAAATATATATAAGGCAAAGGCAACCGGTAGAACATATACTAAATTATAAAGGAAACAAACAAAGTAGGAGCTAGCTTAAGTTAGGAACGTGGGTGGGTTTGGTCTTTTTAATTTATTCATGTGCATATCATATGATTGTGCCTTCAATTTATTAATGTCCAATTCATACACTTGCAATTTCTTAATCTCCTTTGGTCTATAAATTCACATTGCTACCATTCATCCTCTCCACCCCCTTCCAATTAATATACCTCCCTCTCTCTCACCCCAACTTAATTTATGGAGTCCAAAGAAGCTACCATCTCTTCTCCTTCTCCTTCTCCTTCTCGTTCCCTCTCCCCAGACCCAACCAGCAGGTAAAAGATAATATACCTTCTCTCTCTCTCTCTCTCTCTCTCTCTCTCTCTCTCTCTCTCTTGCATGATGCATGATAAAACAGTATTTGATTCCTTTTTTTTTTTTTAATTATCACTCTATGCATACTTAGGTTTAGTCAAGTTGATTAGAGTAGTGTTTTTCTTTTTGCACAAAAATTCGAATCCCCTTCCCCGTAATTTAGATGAATTCATAGTATTAATTGTAAAAAATAATCTATATGTTGGTTTCAACCCATTACTTTAGTTTGGTCTCTAACCATTTAGGTTAGGTCTTATTAGTTCTCCTTTCTTTTCTTCTCTTCCTTTATGCGTTTAGGTTTGGTCCTTAACCGTTGCTTTTATGTACTTTGCCATCACTATATATTATTTGAGCTTTTAATTTTAGTAGATGCATGCATGGGGTCATTCAATATTACTGTTGTTTAATTAACTTTCATGCCTTGACTATAATTGAGAAAAAGAAAAGAACAATAATAATAATAATAATGTGGAAGTACGATTTGTTGTATAATTTTGATGGCGGTGGATCGACATCGAAGAAGATGGTGGTCGGAGGACACGGTTGCGATAGTGACGGGAGCAAACAAGGGAATAGGGTTTGCAGTTGCGAAGAGGATGGCGGAGTTGGGAGTGAGAGTGATATTAACGGCCAGAGACAAGGAAAGGGGTGGCAAGGCTGTTGAGGCACTCAGAGCTCAAGGTCTTCACAGTGTAGTCTTCTCTTGCCTTGATGTCTCCGATCCTGCTTCTATCAAATCTTTCACCTTATGGTTCCAAAAAACCTATGCAGTATTGGATATTCTTGTAAGCTTTCTCTATTTCCATTTTAATTACTTTTTTTTTTTTTTACATTACAGTGGAATTATATACCAATTTATTTTATTTACTTGGGCTCCTTACCTTCACGTTAAGTGGTCTTACAACATGAAATTAATAACGTCTAAATTGTTAAAATTCATGGTAAAGTTATACTATAATCATCAAAAGTTTAATTTACAGCTCAAAATTATATCGTTATGGTAATATTATGATATATAATAACACATAATGACATTGTTATTATTTCTTACATTGTAGACGTCATATTACATTGTCCCCATAGTATGTTAAGTGTGCAACCTAATTACATTGCATATTTGACAATGTGATCCGTTCTATATAATCGAATATTGGATTCTTCAATATATATCTGTGTGACAGTGTAATCTGTTCTATACAATCTGTCCATTCTAAACAATCGAATATCTTCAATATATATATATATGTGTGTGTGTGTGAATATCTTCAATATATATATATATATATGTGTGTGTGTGTGTGTGTGAATATCTTCAATATATATATATATATGTGTGTGTGTGTGTGTGTGTGAATATCTTCAATATATATATATGTGTGTGTGTGTGTGTGTGTGTTTGTGTGTGTGAATATCCTCATTATATATATATATGTGTGTGTGTGTGTCACAGTGTGATCCGTTCTATAAAATCGAATATCTTAAATATGTACCTGTGAAGTATATATATGTAATCTGTTAAGTGTATTTAATGAGGGACAAATAAAAGGTCGGTGGAGATAGATATTCACGTTTCTAGAGAACAAACATGGTCAAGTGGATCAAATCATTAATAGTGTCACTAATTATAAGTTTACAGTGAGATCAAGAAATACCTAAATTTACAAATTTCAACTTAAATGGTGAACTGTGGATCCCTTTTCACCAAATCCACCATCCCTTTTCACCAAATCCACCAAGTCCGAGAATTCAGACCATTGAAATTTGATCCAACGGCTACAAATATGGGCTTACTTTAAAAGTTATAATAACTTTAGCCATTCGATCAAATTTCAAGGGTTCGGATCCCTAAACTTGGTGGATTTGGTGGAAGGGATCCGGAGAGGATCCCCTTCCCTGTTTAGTGATTTGAGAACTTCTCTTAATTGGCACGAAATCATAAATTAGGGTTAAGTGGTGAGTCTGAAAAAAAGGAATAGTGCGGGAGATAAAACGAGAGGTTGCATAGACAATTTATTAAAATTTCTATTGATATATAAGTTTGATTTGTGATTACATTTGTAGGCCTCATCACTATATTATTGTTACTATTATTAAATAGGGAATTGTTATTAGTATTCTAAAAATCTCATTTGACATTCTAAATTTTCTATAATTAGAAGAAAAAAAAATACGCTTGTGAGAAGTGTAGAATGAGATTTTTAGAATGCAGTTTCCTATTAAATATTAATGATATTATTTATCCTAATAAATGGAGATGTGCTAAGCCACACATGAGTCTCTCATAATATTTAATATTACACTCACATCACGAGATGTAAGATTTTTCGATTACAAGAGAAAAATAATACCATTATACTATTGTAACATGTGACCACTAAATTATTAATAATTTTTTAGAGAAATCATAAAAGTGGGACAGTTTTTATGTATAGGTTAATTATCAAAAGATTTTTTTTTTCATGTACAGCATTATTATTTACAATATTAGAGAGTGCAAAAAAAAAAAAAAATTGGTGTGCTTCAAACTTGGGGCCTGTGCAATCGAATATTTCGCTCCTCCAAAGCCGCTACTGATTCTTTATATTGATTATAAATTTGGATATGAAGGTGAACAATGCAGCTGTGTCGTTTAACGATATCAATGAAAATTCTGTGGAACATGCTGAGGCAGTGATGAAAACCAACTTCTATGGACCTAAGTTACTGACGGAGGCCCTCTTGCCCATGTTCCGTCGTAGCACCTCCTCTGTTGGTCGGATACTTAACGTTAGCTCCAGACTCGGCTCACTAAATGTAAGCGATCAAAAAATCAAACTTGCTAATTAATATATTAAGCTCACGAAACAACACATGCATGCATTAAACCTCAATCATCAAGCTCTAAATATTTTTTTCTGTAGAAACTGAGAAACCCTAGCACAAAACAACTTCTAGAAAGTGAAAGCCTATCGGAAAAGGATATCGAGGGGGTGGTTAGTTTGTTTCTTGAAGATGTCAAGAGCGGGAGATGGAAGAGCCAAGGGTGGCCTGAAGTATGGACTGACTATTCTGTATCAAAGCTTGCACTCAATGCATACACAAGAGTTTTGGCCAAGCGATATGAGGGGAGGGGTTTGAGCGTGAATAGCTTCTGTCCCGGCTTCACGCAGACATCTATGACTCGCTGTAAGGGCGACCACACAGCCGATGATGCCGCTAGTGTTGGGGCAAGGCTGGCACTGCTTCCTCCTAAGGAGATTCCAACAGGGAAATTTTTTTGGTGGGTTAGTACTAGTAGTAGTAATGTCATACTTTCTAAATTATAGCTGCTCGAGTCGAGTGATTATTACATTAATTTCGAGTCAACTGTATTAATCCGTTATGTGTGAGACTCCATGCTTAAATTTGTGTTAGAATTATATATTATGTGTGACATTATTTATTGAGGCATTTGGATTTAGATGCCATATCAATTTTAGTAGATTAAACATGTTTAGCTTTTAGACTTTTCATCAACAATAACGTTAGTCATGTTAACTACAAAAGCTAGAAAGTGAAAGACCGTGTCGTCTTTTTTTTTTCGCAATACTCACTTCCTCTCCCTTCTAAGGTGCCACCCATCACACCTTTTCTTCCTCCACTGTTTTGTAAGCAACCATTTTTCAATGGCTTAATTGGAGCCTCCGCCCCAAAGTCGGGATCTTTCTCCTCCCAAGGCCTTGTCCTTTGATTTGGAGCTAGATTTTTGTCCTTTGATTTGGAGCTAGATTTAGGATTTTGGGGTGGTTCTTGGTTGTTGGTGGGTGAGATCCACCTTTGTTCGCTTGAAACCACAGTGGCAACAACCTCACTGACATGTTTGTTTCCACCTTATGGGTGACAAATGACCCGTGACCGGATTTGTTGCCACCCTAGGCAACAAAATCTAGCGTTTGCGCCGCCTTGGCTGACCATATTTTTCTTCTCCGCAATCTTAGATTATCACTCATGACTTGGTGTCCTGATGGGTTAGTGTTCCCACGTGATATTTTCGTTGGGCTGACCTCCGCTGTTAGCACCTTGCTCTGTGGTTTCGATCCACTCTAAGTACGTGTTCCAGAGTCCAGTAGGTGTCCTGGCGCTTTCACGAGATTTGGATTTCAGCATTGAGCGTTCTTAGTGGTACTGCTGTTGAGCTGACTGACATGTCCGGAGCGGCCATCTGCATGTCCGTCGCGATTTCGTTACCGGCAACCGTTTATGTCGTTATGCTGCGTTGCTCGTAACAACAAGCACGATTCTATATAGTTCTGGTTTTTTGGCGTGAGTGTGAGTCAGTGTATGTGTTCTGTCTCCGTGGCGTATCACATTGCAGAGATCTCACACGCGCTTCCGTCTTTATACTATTACTCGCTCTGCTTATCTGTCTTCACGCCTGTCCTTCTCATCGACCCTTGCGCTTAGTGTTACGATTGCGCTGTGCTCCTAGTATTGAACCTTGTGAGTGTACACCAGACCTAATGTTCGTTTAACCGCTCCTGGTATACATCGCTCTCAGACACATGATATAGGTAAGAATAAAAAGCGAAGCTGTTACCAAAGTATAGTAACCATACTATCTCCTAGTCCCTCTAAAAGACTCTAAGAGCGAATTACTATGAGTAGCTTCGAAAATATTCAGTCAATATATCTAGTATCTCGAGTTTGGCTATCGGCTTTTGTTAATTGGTCTTGTGCACTTTCTTTCCCGACGTATTCTATAGTCTACATAATATACAAGACATAATCATTAATTGTGTGTGAGGTCAATACCACACTACTAAGGTGTTGGATATATTTGTTGTGTAGGATATGACAATATTTGTGGTGTGTATCTATTACTCGAGATATTGGAATAGCTGGTGATCTAAAAGGCGGGATGGATTTTATTGGCAAGAATAATTCGATATCTAATATCTTTTTTGCGTTTTTCTTGTGTACTGATGTCGAAATTTGGTCCGTATATAATTGAAAAAAAATCTGTATGTACTGGACCCCATCCAATATTATCCCCTTACACACTTTCTGGAGCCTTAATCTTTGTCTTATGCATGTGTATATTTTGATTGAATTATGCATCCGCTGAAATAAGTCTGAAGCTATTTCTGTGTACAGCTAGACACAAGAAATCCCACTCACTCACTAATCTGAGTTGATAAGATCATACATATCAGTAGAACATTGTATTACATACAGCATTGCAATATATATCCTTCAACCAAACTCACAATTTGAGGAGACAAACGTTGTATATGAAAGATAAATATGATAAACAAATTTGTCAAGATTTTTATTGGGCTTAGCCCTCAAAGATGTACCTGTAGAGTCTCAGATAAGATAAGTATATTGAAATGTTTGGCTCCGGGCGCTACAAAGACTTATCGCTGTAGTATGACTCTCTGATAGTTTCAAGTGTTTAGACTGGGTTTAAGGTTTCCAGTCGCAGTGATTTGTTTTGCTTATAATCAGATGCTACTATAAGTCCCATGAAGTCATAATTGCATAGGTTCATAGTTAGCTAGCGAGCATTATTTAGATCCTTCTATTTCCTGTTTTCTCATGTGCTCCTTGTTTTTAGATGCGTCTACGATGTCGAAAAATGCTTACCGTAATATCGTTCACAGTTTTGACTACCTAACAAGTATATTTAAATACTCAAAAGCCAAGGATGTATACTCCTCATTCTGTCCCTATATTTTTCATAGCCATCCCATGACCCATGATTATTGGTCTTGCTCAATTATACTTTAATACAACCTCCAATATTCCACCTTTTTTTTGATATTTATCCATCACGCTTGAACTTCGTTACCCTAATCTATTCTACACGAACATCTACAATAGTAACAAGCTACTTCGCAGTTTAGTCGAAAATGTTTTTCCGAATCAGTTTACAGTTGCAACTTAGTCTGTCGATATCGACAACACCTCTTCTTATTAAACGCTGAAGGATGTTCTCAACATATTCTAACCGCTCATCTTTTCCTATTCCAATGTTTCGATGTGCTGTACCTGCTAGTTTGCCCCCTAAGCTCAATCTTAATATCTCAAAAATCATATTTATGCCAATTAATCGAGATGTCGGGTACATCAACAGTAATAAACTGTGGTTCCATTTTTCAAGAATCCATCCCAAGTGCTAGTGGAATTTTCCTTGTTTTTCTCCTCTACACTTACTCGTGATGTTTGTACACTTCCTGAGCCAACAAACCCACCCTCTATGCATTACAATGCTCCAATATATCCAGGCCGAATTCTCTGTTGTTCCCCCTCACTTTGTGAACGTTGCTCCTCCTCAGGCAACACAATGTAGGACTCTATATCAGGCTAACCAACCAATCACTTCCGTAATGCTCATTCTATATCGTTTGTCATTGCATATTAGCGAATCATTGGAGACGAAGCGCGCACTTAATTAGATTGTACCGATAGCTCTCTCTCCTATACACCACGCTGCGCATTCTTTTTGTATTTCGCCGGACATTGTACCTCGTCTATCATCTTGCTTTCGAGCGTTCTTTTCATGCTTTGTTCACTTGCGCTTTTTATTATTATTCAGTTCGATGCAGAATCACGCGTGTTTAACGCTTGTCTTACTCTTCTCACTATAGCTTATTTCTTAGCTCTCTCGTCCACCTCCTCTTTCTAACTTCTTGCGATAAACATTCCTGTTATCCGTGATTCAGCTCCTGTAGAACACACCAATTCACGGCTGCGAGTGGCGCGATCTACTACTGACTAACACACTCACTACAGAGTACGTCTGGGAGTTGCTCGATCGCAGAGATCTTAATCAAAAAACTTCTAATAGCTCAGTGTCGCTCGATTGTGTGGTAATATGTTAGCATGAATGTGTGTTTTTATCCCTGGTTAAAGGTTCAAGTACTCACTCTCTGAAGTCTCTACTCGCTCTGTTCAATACTATTTTTCTGTACTCAGCTCGCACCTAGTCATGTAAATAATACCTCGGACAACCCACCAACAGAAAAGTATTACAGAATATCTGAAGATGTGTGGTTTCCGCCATCCCACGTTACGTATGCTCACTTCAGCGCGGTATGAATCCTCAGCCGAATACGGCCCTAGACTTGTATTTATTGGAACTTGGATACCGTTAGTTTTGCATTGATACCTGGTAGTAGTATGCAAAATAACGATCCAAATATTCATGTATTCTATCTAGACAAAGCATGAATAACGAAAAGACCTTTAGATTTGACATCTCTGCACACAATAGCAGACCAACTTTTTTAGTGTCCATCCCAAACGGAAGTATAACCTTCATCACTATTTATCACACAACTTTCTTTCCTTATGCATTATTCATCATCTATTTTACTCACAAATTCAATCCACTACGGTTTTCCTTTCCAGTTCTCTGATGCTCAGCCGAAAGAATGCCCATTGACCGCACAATAGTGAATCAGATCTGGCATACGTTCGTAGAGACTCAACATACAAGTTCCTCCACTATCATTACATGCACTAAGCCTGTTACCCACCAACGCGACTCAATAATATGTATTGGAACTAGAGACAATAACCTTATCTAAGTTTTATTTTGTACAAGGGAAGCTATTCTTAAAGCGATGAAAGTACTGATTCAACAGAATAAGTAACACTCACATTACTCACTTATAATAGTTGATAAAAGGCTTTAACAGTCTTGTGTTGGTACTTCTATGAAGGTGTTTTCTTGGCTTCACTGATGGAATACGAACGTATCTGATACTGGTTTAGAGTTTTATTAGCTAAGACTATGGAATTGACGAATATCTCCCTTTACGTAGCTTATGAGGCCGATTGGAAATTACTCCTAAATACTAATCTCCCATATGAGATGGGTAGGAGATTTGTCTCTCTTTTTCTCTCATACTACTATTATCCGATTACACATTTTAGCAATGAATACGGACTTGAGAAGAACAATTGTTGACACATTGTTCATACACATCTCCCGACCAAAAATCTTAATATCAGTTACCGTAGCTTAACGTCCACCTGCTCTCTTACGCCATCTTCGCTTTACTTCTTCTACCTTGTTTCCCTCTCAAATTTTCTCCCACGCTACATTGACTATAAGGTTAGCACTTAACAAGGACTAATTGCCGCCAACCACCCTCACGCACTACGAATATGTTATTGCAAACCCGTCCTCAAGCGCAGTCGTCGCTGGGGTTCTTAAAGACACCATATTCCGTCCTAAAATAGCCCGACATTAGGGTTTGCTGAATCCACCGTCGACAAGAAAATCATATTACTGATTGTAATCTTATCTAGCTTTTTTGGCATTGTGTGTTTGTTTTTCCTTATTAGAGTTGCCATTTACAGAAGGACTTTTCAGATCGAACTAGATTTACGGTACTGAATGGTCTCAAACATAAGGCCGTCTTACTCCGCTATTATTATATCTTAACTGCTGTTTGCTTTTA